GCTTCCAAAAACAAACACCAAAAAAAAAAAGAGAGTGAGAGAAACATAATAAATGTAGAGAAGGACTTACCAAGCTGGGAGCCTCCTCTCCAAAGCCTCGCTGCTCTTCGCCGGGCTCTCCCGTGTGCCGAGCAGCATGTGAGTGCGGCTCCCGATTCGCAGAGCCCGGTGCCCGCCCTAGATCCCAGATCAAATATTGTGCTTGCAGGTCACGGGCTCAGCAGGTTGTTTTCTTTTTGGGGAGGGGGAGTGACCTCCCAGCAGCAGCCAGTTTGCAGGAGAGACTGAAGAGACCCTAATGCTGCCTGGCGTTATAAATAACCTGCGTTTTCTTTCCTCCCTCTCTCTCTCTCTCTCTCTCTCTCTCTCCCTCTCTCTCCCGTCTTTTCTCACAGGAGTGTTGGCACTTTTCAGGCTCTCTCTGTTTAACGAGTTAGTGGAATTGGGGATGTTGTTTTTAAAAGGGCTGTTGTTAGGTCTCCTGCGTTTCTCATCAGGAAGCGACGAGGAGGCCTCTGGCCAGATTCAGGACTATCTGGTTTGGAGGAGCTGAGGATGTGATTCTTGGGGAGATGAGAGAAAAGTGTCCTTAACTTTTGCAGGACCAGGGGGAGAGACGTTGGTGCCTCCTCTGACTGCAGCCTGGGCTTCTTCCCCAGGAAGCCTCAGTTTATCCAGCTCTGCTCTGAAATATTTAGGATAAACATTTCCATGAACGATAAGGCTGCAGCATCCAAGGTAAATAAGTTTCCTACCAAATAATTTGTCTTCAGCTTGGCAGGAGAGAGATGCCAAGCTGGCATTTCTGCAGGCTGTGCCCATCTGCCTGGGTTGAGGGGTGTCCCCCCTCCCTTCCTGAGGCTGACCTGGGGGTGGATGCTGGGGGGTGGGGCAGCAGAATGGGTGTTGAGGGTGACCCATGGTTGGGCAAGGATGGACACAAGAACTTGCAGCTCTCCCTGCCATGAGGCTCATCTCCTCCCAGTGCCAGCCATGCCTTGGGAGGGGGTATCTGCAAAGTACAGGGGGTGGTGGGCATTGTCACAGCCCCCTGGCCCCCTCCTGGCTCTCTGTGCCCTTCAGCTTTGGAGACAGCTCATTTCCTACAGTGAGGGAAGGAAAGGAGGAGCCCTGACCACCCATCTCCATCCCGTGCCCAGCTCCAGCAGCACGCCCTGGTCCTCCCAGGAGCCTGGAATTACTTAGGGAAGCTCAGCAGGTGCCAGACTCCCTCTGGGCTTGGTTTCTCTTTAGTTTTCACTGAAATTTCCCAGCCAAAACATCCTCCTTTCCCTGGGGAGCCTCGCAGAGATCCGTATTGCTCTGAAGGTCCTGCTGCAGGGAGGAGGAATGTGCAGGGAGGAGGGATGTGCAGGGTGCAGAGGGACACGCTGTACAGTGGGGACTTTGCCAGGAAGCCAGTCGGGTTGGGAAGGAAGAGTGTGCCTGGAAAGCACCACAGCACGAGGCTGGGATCTGCAGGGGGAGAGAGGATTCAGAGAAAGCCTTGCCTTCGAGTGGGGAAAGAGGAGAGGGAGGCTGTGCTGCCTAAAAGGAGGCAAAGCCCTTGTAGAGTGGGGTGGGAGCAACTCTTCTTGCCCGTTGAGCTTTGCCAGGAGGTGGTTCCAGGCTCTGGGCTGGTGTGACCCTGCTTGGAGGGATCTGTTCCTGCTGCCAGGCAGCTCTGTTCCAGGGAGAGTGGTGGGGAGGGTGGTGGCAGCCAGAAACATCTGCTGCTGCTCGGTGCCTGAATGGTGTCAACCAACGTCACATCTCTGGCAGCTCGAGGTGTCCTGGTGGCCAACAGCTCAGAGGCTTTTGCAGGGCTTGGATCTTTTTCTGGAAAAGCCAATTGTCACCAGGTAGGTTAGATGAGGAGTGTGGGCTCTCTGTCTTCTGGAAGTTTGAAATATTCGTGACCCAGGACTCGCACCCTGGGGGAGAGGCACTGGCTGTGGGGGCTGGGGGCTGGTGGTTTCCCAGAGGATGCTGAGGAGCCCTCCCCATGGCCACATCCCAGCCTGAACCAGAATATAAAGACATGCTTGATGTTATATTTTTATATATATATGTTCAAGTATATGAAACATTATATATAAACTCAGCTTGTGTGTTCCCACAGTCACCAGGACGTGCTGTCGAATCTCATCATGACCAGTTTGGGATTATCTCAAGGAAGTGAAGATTTACCATCTAAAGAATGACATAGATCCTTTTTATTCCTCCATCCAACCTCGAAATCTCCTCCTCCAGCTGTCCAGCATCTCCCAGGGTGCTAGCAGGGCTCTCTTGCTTGGTCCATTTGCCTGGTGTGAGGTGGGTGCTGGTAAGACCTCAATGCTACTGCTCATTTCAGGCCAGTGCAAGTTCCCAAGTGACCTCCGTGGAGCTTTTTCCAACATCTCCTCCTATAAATCCCTCTTCTCTATCACTGACTGTTCAAAGAAAGCCCTGAACTGGTGACAGGAGCTGGGAACATGCTGTCCTGCTTGCTCCAAGCCATTGGGCCCTATCAGTGCATAATCTCATCCAGAGCAGTTTCTCCAGCAGTCACAGTCTGCATCTCATCAGGGCCAGACAAATGCCTGTCTTGGTTTGCTTTGGTTTTCTAAACCAAACTGATGTGAACAGTGTCTATTTTGGTTGGGTTTGCTCCAGTTGTTTTGATGAAATGCTCTTGAGCTTTGTATTTGAAACCACTGAATCTGGCCCGAGTTTGCCCTCGATTTGCAAATCCTGCTCTGGGAGCTGGGGGGGTTGGATTCTCCACGGATGGATGGGGGTTTGTCAGGATGCTTTTGGCACAGGGACCGAGCTCTTCACAGCATAACGAAGCAACAAAATTCTGATGCTCCTGCTAAGGCTAAAGCTCGTTCTGCCTGGCTGAAGGGAGGATGATCAAACCTACCGTGGCCATCCAAAAGCAGCCACTGTCAGCAGCACGGCTACTTCTGAGCAGCTTCCCTTTTTTTCCTCATGGAAATGTTATTTCTGCCTCTTCCACGTTTCCAAGAAGTTTCAGCTCTGCTGGAGCTGTTGGCTGCTCTGTCCTCCCACTCAAGCTGTTGTCTTTAATTTCCACGGCCCTCCCTGTCCTGGGAGGGGGTTACCAGATCCCCTGAGCTCAGGGTGCTTGAAGACAGGGCTGCCTGTGTGGCAGTGTCACCATCACCTGCCCTGCAGGTCCTGCAGGTGCCCTCCTAGACCTTGTCTTGAAAGTGTGAAGGTCCCAACTGCTTCACCTGAAGGGTGACAGTCCCAGCTGCTCCTTTAAGGGACTCCAGTGGGAAGAGTCCAAGCAGGAGCCAAGGAGACCTTGTCCCTTGGCATCTCCAGCCTTGCTCAGGCAGGGTGGGTGGAAATGCACAGGGCAGAGCCTACGTGGTGGAGAGACCCATGAAGCAGAACGAGGTCTTTGCATCAAGCCTTCTACCAAAGCTTCTGCTACAAACACCTGAGCAGAAAGGGCCTGGAGCCAAAACCTGGAGGTCCTGGCTGCCAGGTTTGCATGGTCTTCCTGGACCTCCTCTTCCTCACCAATCCTGGCTCTTTCCAGCCTCTGTAGAACACCCAGAGACTTCTCATGCAGTGAGTGCTCTTCTCCAGGTACCTCCCCATCGCTCCATCCCTCTGTGCTGTGCAGGGAACTCTCTCCTTCCTCCAACCTTCCTTCCACGCCCCAAACTGTGGTCTGTGGGGTATCTTGGGCTCCCTTGAGCCTGGGGGAGCAGCCAGGTGGCTTTCAGAGCAGGTACCAGCTCAGATGGTCCCCAAAGGGCTGTGCTGCTGCTTTTCAGAGGCTCTGCCAAACCCAGCTCCCCCAGAAGCCCCCACCTGACTTCTGAGGATGGCCACAATAGGAGCAGGCAGGGAAATGCAGTCCTGAGGGGGTACAGGCAAGGGGGGAGCAGGAATCGTGGGGTTCCTTTGGGCTCAGCCTTGGCTGAACCGGGTGGAGGGAACACACTCAACATCTGACAAATCTGTGCCCTGGGTGGCTGCAGCCTCCTGTCCAAAAAGGGCAAAGTCAGGGCAGGATGAGCCCTCCCTTGACCTCCCCTCTCACCCCGGCCTCCCTTTTCCCTTTTGTCTTTTTTAGCAAGACATTCTTCAGCCCAGACAACATTCTTGACTGGAGATTTGAGGCAATCTAGAGGGAGTTGGTCACTGGGAGATGCTGAGATTGCTGAGGGAGCTGTGCTGGGAGCTGGGACTCGGGGTGTCGGGGTGATGCTCACGCTGTAGCTGCCGTGTGCTGGCTCCTGGGGTCACCCCATTTCCACGGGAGGGGCTCTGAAGCTCCCCCCACGTGCAGTGAGCTGGAAGGGCTCAGCCCAGGCTTTCCCTGGCTGGGAGGGGGAAGCCAGGCAGCCCTTGGCTGGGAATTCTCACTCGCTGTCAGCTCTTCTCCTCCTCCTCCCGCGGGACACCCGGGCTTGTGAAATCGGTGGCTCAGCTCCTCCAAAAAAAAGAGTCTGCACCACAGAGGTCCCTTGGCACCAAAAATAAAGGGGTTGCCCACTCTCAACCCCCACCCGTGTCCCCTTGCTGCTGCTCTGTCCCTTGCCCTGGATACGACACATGGACCCCATGCCACCCCAAAGGGACATCCAGCTTTAGAGCAGACCCTGTCCCCCCATCCTCACTCATCCACC